TATTTTGGAATGCGAAGGGCTGCGTGATTCTCATAGTCTCTCTGATTCTTGAGCTGTATTTAGTAACATTCAACATCTCTTTTGTTTGTAACATGTTAAGGTTAACCCATAGTGATCCCAGCTTCCATTTCTTGTCACCTCTCATTGTGCATACCCAAACATAAAATTCTTTGGGAAAAAATGTAAAGCAAAGTGCAAGACTATGAGATGAGATCCTCTTGATATGTGGCATTCATATTTGTTTGAATTTATATAGCAGAATCAGTTTGGAAATAATGCTTTCAATTTCCTTTTCCTGCACATATCACAAAAACTTCCTGTTAACTAATACAATGCTTTAGCTTTTGGGTTTAATAGATTTTAGTATAATTATCAAAGGACAAATTCTTTAATTGAGTCAATCCTAGAAATACAGTTTTCAGTGAATCCAAATTAGTGAGACAAGGCCCTCTTGCCCTCTTAGCAGCCACTTCTTCTCCTGGACACCTGTTCTTCTTCTGCATAGTCCTACAGTTCTCTTCTTCTGAACCAACCGTAGGTTTTATGTGATTCCAGGTGTGAGCAGATCCTCAGAAAGACTTGCTTACCCAGAGAGGTCAGAACCTCTGGAAGTCCTGATGGCTCTAGCAGGTTTCATTGACCTAGTGGGTCTTTCAAAATAATGGTGGTAAAATGAAGCCTAGCTTAACTAAATATTCTCAGCAGAGTTCAATTTTTTTTCATGATAAAAAGTATAATGTACTTTTAAAAAAGAGTAAAAACCCTGAAAATAATCCTGAATTTGGTGTCATTAGTTCTACAGTCAGTCTGCTTAGAAGACAGTTTGGACTAATCATCACTTAGGATTCCATCTTAGTTGTGTGGTTTTTTCAGTCTTGGACCTTTATAAAATATTAAACTTAAAATATACTTTTCCTTGTTACTAGGTTGTTTATTGTTGAGGTCCATAATAATATATTCAGTAGGCAAACAGTACCACTTTTTATGATGTCAGATAATGCCTGGTTCCTAGTGTTAAATACAGTCAAGAAATTATGCCCTGTTATATTATAGGAACAACAAACAAAAGTCCTTGTGCAGGAGGTAGATCTTTTAAGCTTTCCTAAGCAGGCTTGGGATACAAGGCAAATTTTTTGACTTCTCTTACTGAAGAGTGCCAGGCTCTTAAGTGTCTTTCCTAGCTTCAGAGTAAGACTTGGAAAGAACTCCACAATGAAAATCTCTCCCCTCACCCTTTATACTATCGTATTCTTGTATTCTCATTTCATTAGTTTCACTTAGGGAAAGTGTGTCTTTTAATATACAGCTATCTTTTGAGCAGTTAAGTTTTTAAATTTTTAATGCATTTATTGTAAATTGAAGCTATTTGGAAGTGACAGCCTGATGGGAAAGCACATTTCTCTGAAAGTTGGAAGAGAAAACCCCCGAAAAGTCAAGCTTTGTCTGTTTTCTATCATCACCAGTGTCTAAATCTTACACTTTCAAAGAGTCTGCATGGCATTTTAATACACATTGTAAAATAAATAGATCAGATGTCTCTTCCTTTTATCATTTTTTTCTTTTTGATACCGGGTCCCGCTATACAGTTCAGACTCCTAGTGATCCTCCTGTCTGAGCTCCCCAGTGCTGGCATTGCAGGTGTGTACCACCATGCCAGGTTTCAGGGCCAACACGGCATATGGTACTGAGGACTGAGCTTGAGACCTTGAGCTTGCCAGACAGGCGCTTAGACCATCGAGCTATCTTCCTGGTCCCAGATATCTGTTCTTTGAAATGACTTCATATTATTTAAGTTCATTCTCAAATTGATTTTTAAAATGCATTCTCTGTATTTCCTCCTTTTTAAAAATTAACATTTTTATTTTGAAGTAATTGTAGCTTGCATACCATTTATCCAGTTTACCCAGTGGGAATTCCTTGAAACACCACAGTGTAACATCAGAACGAGGATACTGATGTGGGTGCAGCCACGGTCCTTACTCTGCCTTCGCAGCAGTGCCGTGCATGTGCACTCCTGGTGTGTCTGGCTCTGACAGTTCTGTGTACACACTGCCCCAGCTTTGCTGCACAGCGGTCCACTGCCCCAAAGCTCTCTTATGCTGCCCATTTCTGATACCTCTCTTGTTTTAAGGACAGTTTTCGTTGTTAACTTTCTTTCAATATGGTCTTGACTTAAAGAACTATATTCATGCTTTACATTTTTTTTTCATATTTAAATGGTGGTTTAAAAACCCTCATACATGATGAAGCCCACGCAAGGTTTCCTCTGCCCTCATATGGAATAGGTCAATGACCAGATACGTACTTTTCCACTCCAGGCAGTTCTCCAGAACACCCGTTGGGTGTACTGGGTTCATTCAGTCATCAGATTCCACAAGTTGGGGCGCAGTCCAAGAGGACCGCCTATGCTGCAGATACCCGTCTACTCTGGATCTCTGTAAATCACAATTCCAGTGCTCCTCCCCATGGGGTTTGAAAATTTTCTCTTAACAGCTCTCAGAAGTCAGGAGAACATTTGCTGTTCTTACCAGTTTATTATGAAAGACACAACTCAGACCTCACCAGGGGAAAGACATGCATGGGACAAGCATTGAGGGGAACGGGAATACTGGTGATTTCACGTCTTCCAGGAACACATTCCTCCTACTGCCTGAAGTGTGCTGAGTGACCCAGAGCCCATCACACTTGATGGTCCTCAGTTTTCATAGGCTTACCCTCCAGCCCCTTCTTCCTTCCTGAGCTGATAGTCTGAGTTCTAGCCCTGCATTCAAAGGGTATTTTTGCTGACCAGTCCCCCTGAAGGAACCCTACCCTGTCACTTCGTTAGCATAAACACAAGTATAATCAGAAGAGACTCTTTAGAAACAATAAGAACACTTCAGACTATCAGAAAATTGTAAGGCTTTTAGGAGTTGTGTGCTGGAAACTGGAGACAAAAATTAAATATATTCCTTTTTATACCACAACATGTAAAAGTTACCATTTTAAGTGTATAGCTTGGTAAGTATTGAGAATATTCTCATTGTTTTGCACTAGATCTCCAGATCCTTTAAAGCTTGCAAAACTGAAACTCTGTCCCTATTAGACCCAACAGGCCCCATTCTCACCTCCCCAGCCCCTGGAAGCCAGTACTCTTTTTTTTTTTTTTTTCTACTTTTTATTAATTTTATTGAGAAACAAATAGCAATGAGACAGTTTCAAAACAGTAGGACAGTTTCCATGTATTAATGTAATTAATACATTGCATATTGTTGTCTTCATAGTGGTTATTCTTAGTACAAGATGCAGACATTATATCCTGTCCAAACACTATTAGTACTCTTTCTGTTTCTATAAATTTGACTATTCGGGTACGTCATATAAGCAGAATCATAGCATTAGGCCTTTTGTGACTGTTGTATTTCACTAAGCATACTTTCCTCAAGGTATCTTCCATGTTGTAGCACTGAGAGACTTTTTTTTCCTTTTAAAACTGGGAAACTTTCATATATATATATATATATATATATATATATATATATGATGTTTTGTTTCTCCATCTGTAGAGGGACTCTTGGGTTACTCCTGTCTGTTAGCTATTGCAAATAATGCTGTTAGGAGCATGGTTATGCTCTGTCTCTTAGAGATTCATTTTGGGGGGTAGATAACCAGAAGTGAAAGTGTTAGATCATATGAGAATTCTATTTTTTAGGTGTTTTTTGAGGAATTGTCGCACTTTTTCATAGCAGCTGCACCATTTTAAATTCCTACAAACAATATATATTCATACCTTAATGATATTTGGATAAGTTCGTTTTAATTAATTTATTTCTATGCTCACTTATTGAATGACTATTTTACTGACTGTTACACTGGACGTACGAACTCCTTAGCAGCCATGGCAGATGGGATAGTGTGCACTATAGTTTGTATGTATAGCAAGAATGAGCCTCAGGGAACAGCTGCACATTTTTGGAGTAGGCTCTTTCAGTTAAATAACAGAAACCTTACCTACCTTGATTCAATAAAAGGGGGGATTTTTTAATGTAACAGGTCTCAATCACTGGAATATGGCATTTGGTTGTCACTGGTCTTCGGTGGATCTAGTTTTCTGCACTGTGACTTTCACAGCATAATGAAGCAACAGCTTCTGCTTCAGCTATATAAAGGTCAAGGAAACCTAGGTGGTCCCAATCCAGAATTTTCATGGGAAGAGAATGATTGGCCCAGCATGGAATAATTGCTGGCTTATTTTACATCACAAGGACAGCCAGGGAAAGGGAGTCTATATGGGGTGTAAGGAAATCTGTGGGCTGACTGGGCAACAGGTGGGTACCTAAAAAGCAGAATAAATGCTAGAGAGACAGCAAAAGTAGTGCTTGTCCACTGTTTGTGAACTGAAACATCAACGAACAGTTGGTGCACAAACTGAATGAAAGCATGTAGCTGGAAAAGTTCTGGGGAAGAACTATTAGGATAACCAGAGGGAAAACAAGTCAAAACGCCTGTGGTGTGTTTGGTTGAGGGTGACAAGGGAACTTCCATGAAATTCTTAGTCATAACAGATAAAATCATTGACTGATCCCCAGCCTGGCCTCAACCTCACAGTGATCTCCTACCTCAGCCTCGAAAGTGCTGGGGTTCCAGGTGTGAGCCACCATACCCAGCCTCATGTAAAAAATTTTTACAGTTTATATCAAAAGCAAATAAATTAAGTTTTATAATTAATTCCAAGAAGTTGTTGGATGTAGGAGCTGAGGGATGGAGATAGCTATGTAGTGGGGACTCCCAGAGGAAATCAGAATGTGGCTTTAGCCTTCTGATACTGTGCAGAGAATTTTTCCTTGGAGCACTAGTGGTGATGATGACTGATACGACCTACTTAATGCCACCTCATGTCAGGTGCTGTCGTAGGCCTCTTCTAACCTTACCTGAATCTCAATCAGAAGCGCTCCCTGTTTGTTAACTGGATTTTCTAAGTGGATCTCAGTGGACTGATAACACTTTGCTTTCCCTTTCAGAGATGTGGTACTGGATCTTCCTCTGGGCTCTCTTCTCCTCGCTGTTTGTCCATGGTGCTGCAGGAGTGCTGATGTTTGTGATGCTGCAGAGGCACAGGCACGGAAGAGTGATCTCCGTCATTGCAGTCAGCGTTGGCTTTCTGGCCTCTGTAACTGGAGCAATGATTACTAGTGAGTTGGTTTGGTTTCATTCAGGGACACAGTTTTTATGTACTTGCCATGTTGATAATTGTTCTTACTATCTTATAAATGTAACATTAGTATAATTTTTCATGTGGAATATTCCTCAACACTTTACAGCTATCACCTCTGTGGTAAAGGTGGTGATTTACTCATTGAACAGATATTTGTCATTATGCAGGGTTTTGTGGGAAAGAGAGAGATCTGGAATTCAGTAGGAAAATTTATCCTACAGTGAATGTACTGTCTGCTTTTAAAGTCACTCACTAATCAAGCAGATAGGTAGGCACAAAAATATGATAATTGAGATTTCAAAAGTGAAAATATTGCCTGTAGGTCATCTGCTTATGACGACAAAATATATGCATTTCTTTTATACACAAATTGTTATGACATGAGTCCTTCTGGCCTACATGAACTTAGTCACTTTAGAGGGTCCACAGAGAACCTGCAAGTGCTCTCCTCTGTTGCCTTTTGCACTTTCTTGCAGCTCTATGGGTCTGTTCCCCTGACTTCTCCTCCTGACATTGCACTTGGGCCCCAGCTCCAGCCTTGCTTTCGCAGTTAGCCTTGGTTTCTGCAGCTGCTACTTGAGCAGAGTTTGGCTGTAGCCTGTTGAGAATAAAAGGCCACAGCTGTGCTCTTACACGGCTGTGCAGCAGCTGCCTGCTTCTCTGTGGTGCTACTCATTCTGTACCCCCACTGAGCAACAGAGGCTTATACTGCATCTGCTCTGGCCCACTTCCATATGTCTGGACAGCTCATTACTGTCCCTGCATCTGTTTGGGACTGTGCATGAAAGGCTTCTTCCTTTTAGTAGATTGTTGGCCTAGAATTAAGGGAAAGACTTCTATCTTCATAGTTCGAGGGCCTCCCTCCTTTCCTTGTTCCACAGTGACTGGCATCACTTGCCTTGAGAGGAAAGTCTTGTTTCCATGTCACTGGGTATGTTCCCTAGAACTGCCATGACAATCATAAAATACTTTTGCAAAATAGTAAGTAGTCTCTTTTCTTAGCTTTTGTTTATTTGCTACTTGGACTCTCTGTGCTCTCTGACATTGAATTTTGTAGGCACTTTTGTTCTGTCTGCAGTTAGCCTACCACCGCCTCATTCTGTAATAGGGTTTTAAATGAAGGTCAGGTTTAGGTGAAGTGCAGGATATATATGATGGGGCCTCAGGGATTCAGCTGGAAAGAGAAAATGGAACTAGATCCTAACAGATCATGGCAGACCAGCCAGAAGGTTTGGATTTTGATCTTGCAGGCCATGGAAAATAAGTCAGTATTTTTGAATGGGTTGGGGAAGAGACAGAGCAGTTCAATAGGAAAATCTGTTTTATATGTGAACATAGGTAAAGAACCAAGAGAAAACTCAGAACAGGGACCTTATCACCATGACACCTTCAGCCACAAAGCAGTACCTGGAACATAATAGATGGTCAGAGTGTTGTTTAGATCAGTAGATGGAATGAGGAAGAATAAAGGGAAGAATGGAGAGAGGCGAGCAGGAAAGAATAAAGAAGGAAGGAGGATTGTGAGGTATTGCCTAGCTTCTAAGCTTGAGACATGGAGCTGATCTAGGATTATGGCTGTTGGCAGGAAAGGAAGGAGTTGATGTAAGAACCGTGACAAAGGACAAAAATCCAGATAAGGTATTAATTCGCTGGTGGTTTTCAGAGAGGTGGAAGGGGCTGCCATGGCCAGCAGCTGGTGGGACCATGCACAGCGGAGGAAGAGTAGGAGCAGCCTGCGTGTGTATATGTTATTGCAGAGTATGTGAGAAATGTAATTCCTCCATTTATCTCTTAAAGATATGCATATATATATATATATATATATATATATCCCACTTTTAGTCAAGAATAAAATAAGGTAGTGATTTTAGAAACTGCAGTGTTCTAATTTAAAATCCTTAAATATATGTGTCTGACACAATTTCAAGGAAAATTTTATGCCCATGTTAATATTTAATTTTTTTTCTCACTAATTTTGTGATTTGCAAAGAGTTGATTTAAAACTAGCCAACATGAATATTTAGTTGTACTTATGTTCTTAATGCAAGTTGTGAGTACCAAGGCACCCATAGTATCTGAGGATATCAAATAGCTCTCTGTTCATTCAACAGACAACTGTGACTATCCATATTCGACAGAATGCTAATTGAATACAGTTTGGTGCGAGTCTATATTTACTGCCTCTAGGATTTCACTTCCAAAGGAGAGTGATCTTTTTCCTTTTGGCTTATATTGATAATTCATGCCAGAACTGGTATAAACTGAACTCTTTGCCACATACATTGAACCGTAGCTTTTTTGTTGCAGGCAGACTGCACACATAAAGTACCACCTTGTTACTGGTTTATTTACATTTATCGGGGAGCTAAAAGGGACAGCCTCTCTTCCTGTGCTTGTTATATATGTAGGCTTTCTTTTCTGCCCATTGCTTCTTTAAATTTGTGATTTTTTTCTAATGCTATTTCCTTCTTATCAAATTACTGGTGTTTCTCAGGTACTAGAGATTGTTCTCTTGGTGATCTTTTACTTTGTTAATAACTTCTTTCAATCTTTGATCAGTTGTTTTCATGCATGGTGTTATTTACTGAGTAGAAATGCTTTACTTCAGTGTAATCAGCTTAAAGAGGTTTTTTTCCCTCATGGTTAATAATCTAGTTAGGGCTTTAAGAAGTTCTTTCAAATAACAAGGTCAAAAGATATCCTGATGTATTTTCTTCTGTTAATGTTATAGCTTTATATTAAGTTCTTCAATTTATGTAGATCAGGAGTTAGCAAACATTTTCCTAAAGGACCAAATTGTAAGTATTTCAGACTTTGTGGACCAGTGATCTCTGTCACAACTATTCACATCTGCCACTACAGCACAAAAGCAGAGAGAGGGGTCCAAAAAGGGTAGGCATGGCTTGTTCCAATAAGAACATTTTCTTGGGGGGCTGGGGAGATGGCTCAGTAGGATAAGCGCTTGACTGGCAAACGCAAGGATCTGAGTTCAATCCCTGGTTCCGCCAAAAAAAAAAAAAAAAAAAAAAGGTTTTCTTGCCAAAACAGACCACAGTTTACCCCAGTCCAGGGTCTTCCTTTGACTTTGGAATTAGGTAGGCTCCTGTGTGGGATCCCCCTTCTACAGAGTGAGTCTTTACCACACCATACATTAAAAATTCCCTTATTTCCTCGTTGCTTTTATAATGCTATCTTTTTGTACATTACACTCACAAGGCACAGAGTTCTCTGTGAACTCTGTTTGGATTTGTTGGTCTTTTTTTCTGTTACAGATGGGCCAGTAAGTCTTGCTGTCTGTCAGGGATAGGTCCTTACTATTACTTTTCCTCTCACATTTAACGTAGCTAATTTTTATTTTATTTTATTTTTTTAATTTTTTTTACCATAATTTTATTGATAAACAAATATCAATGAGACAGGTTCAAATCAAATCGGTAGGACAGTTTCAATAATTAACACACTGCATATTCTTCTTAGTGGTAAATTGCTAATTTTGGACCTTATTTTATGTAAATTTTAGAATATGTCTACTTGTTAACCAAGAAGTACAAGTTATATTTTATTCAGAGGTAATTGAATATAGAGGTTGATTTGGCACTCACTTATTTATGAAATTATGCCACCAGTGAACATATAATGTGTATGTATTTATTGAGATCATTTTTGTTTTATTTTTATCAGAAGATTTATGTATATATATAGATATATAGATATAGATATTTGACTATGTTAATTCCTGGACATTTAAACTATTATATTTGGCATCTTTTTGACTATATTATTTAGTCTTATTGATATGGTCAGTTATAACTTTTGCAAGTTGTCTTTATGGCAGACTAACAAAAAAACAGCTGTGAGATAAATAGATTGCAGGTAAACTAGTAAGACAGAAAAGTAAAATACAGATTATAATAGAAGTAACCCTTTCTGTAATAAAGATAAAAGAATTATAACAATGAAACACTTTTATTAATATCTATACATATTCTAATATATATAATATGAAAGTTGGCCTATGGAAAGCATTAATAGAACAATAATTACTTTTTAAAGAAATGTTATAGAGGGGCCAGGGAGACGGTTCAGTAGAATAAGCGCTTCCCTGGCAAGCGCAAGGACCTGAGTTCAATCCCTGGTTCCGCAAAAAAAAAAAAAAAAAAAAAAAAAGAAAGAAAGAAAGAAAGGAAAAGAAAAGAAATGTTATAGAACCTTTCTCCCAAAAACCTCATACCCAGATGGGGTTTACAGATATCAAATTTTTAAGAAATATTTGGTTTCTATTTAGCAAGCTATTATAGAAAATAGGAGTGAAAGTTTACAGGTGAACAGAGAATATAGGCAAAGAACCAAGAGAAAACTCAGAACAGGGACCTTATTACCATGATAGAATGAGGAAGAATAAAGGGAAGAATGGAGAGAGGCGAGCAGGAAAGAATAAAGAAGGAAGGAGGATTGTGAAGTATTAACTAGCTTCTAAGCTTGAGACATGGAGCTGATCTAGGATTATAGCTGTTGGCAGGAAAGGAAGGAGTTGATGTAAGAACTGTGACAAAGGACAAAAATCCAGATAAGGTATTAATTCACTGGTGGTTTTCAGAGAGGTGGAAGGGGCTGCCATGGCCAGCAGCTGGTGGGACCATGCACAGCGGAGGAAGAGTAGGAGCAGCCTGCGTGTGTATATGTTATTGCAGAGTGTGTGAGAAACGTAATTCCTCCATTTATCTCTAAAGATATGCATATACATATATATCCCACTTTTTTTTTTTTTTTTTTTTTTTTTTTTTTTTTTTTTTTTTTGGTGGAACCGAGGATTGAACTCAGACCCTTGCACTTACCAGGGAAGCGCTTATTCTACTGAGCCATCTCCCCGGCCCCTTATATCCCACTTTTAATTTAGTCAAGAATAAAGGCTTATTTTCCTGAGACCAGTGCAAATGTGTCACTAAAGAACAAGTAGAGGCTCATTCACTGTGTGAGTGTTACCTTTGGATTGCAAAGGTAGCTCAGGGTTAGGCATACATGCAGCTGAGTTCCGATACAACATTACGTGTGGGTACTGAAAGTTAAATTTGATCTAATTTTCATGTATCACAGTATATTCTTTAGGCTCTTTCCAACCATTTAAAGATGCACAGGCTATTCCTAGCTCAAATGCTGTGCAAGCATAGGAGGAGGACCCTAGATGGCCTCTGATGCTGTGTTTCATACCTGAATGTCCCCCTTGCCTTGGGTGCTAATGGGCGAAGCATTTGGAAGAAGGGGAGGTTATGACAGCTTGCCGGTAGGAGGTAGGGCCTGGTCAGAGGAGCTGGCTGCAAGGCTGTGGCCTGGAGAGGGTTGTCTCCACTCCCACCCACTCCCTGTCTGCTTCTTGGATGTGACGAGGTGAGCGCCAACTTCTCCGCCAGACCCCTGTTCCAGGCCACCTTGCTCTGGAGCCAGGACCTAGGCCTACAGCTGGAGCCAGTGCACACCTCTCCTTTCAGTGGGACGTTGGGTACTTTGTCCTCATGATGAGAAAAATGACAAAGAAAGACAGCCCAGTAGAGCAATGGGTACAGAATTGGGTGAGCATTTTATAGGTTATAGAACCTGATGGCTAATAATATAGGAAGTAAAGTTCAATCCCATTATCAGGGAATTATAAATGATTTTAGAGATAGCATCTGTTACCCACCAGGCCAAAAAAACAAAAAACAAACAAAATTAACCACGTCGACTGCTTCTAAGGATATGGAGTAACTAGGATGATTAAGTTGACACAATTAATTTAGAAAAACAAGTAGGATTGGCTACTAACGTTGAACATGCCCATACCATAGGGTTAAGCAGTTTTACTTTTACCCATGAATCATGGAGACCCTCTTGACTGCTTCTGCATGCAAGGGGTACAAGAAAGTTCATAGAAGCAGTGTTTGTGCTTGTCAAGAATTGAAACAAGTCGGCAGCAGTTTATGTTGGTCAGCTTTCCTGGTGGGGCAACGTCCCTGACACTTTCAGCTCCGAAGGAGGAGTAGTCTAACTTGGCTTACGATTCCAAGGTTTCAGTCTGTGGATGACTGCTGCAAAGCCACAGCATCATGGTGGAAGAGGGATGGTGACGCAGAGCTGCTCTCTTAATGACAGCTGCAAGCAGCTTCCAGAAGGGCTAGGAGGACACTCACTCTCTAAAAGCACAGTCCTGTGACCACCTCCTCTTCCTGGGACCTCTCTTCAAGCAGCACATTCAGCTCTTAACCTGAGGAGACTCATTCAGTGCAGAGTAAGGCACCCATGACCTGGCTCCCTCCTTGGGAGCCTCTGTATCCAGTCAGGTCAACAGGTAAGGTAACTGACACACAGCAGAATAGATAAATAGTAGCATATTCATATTTGGGATACACTTATTCCCTGCCCAACATAAAGTTATTCCCTACTATTTAAAATCAAGTTTACTGAACTTTGTTATCATATACAGTGATTTTTGTGGGAATAATAGGATCAAAAGATACTTTGGCTTTTAAAAGGAAAGCTTTTTAGATATACAGCGAAGTTTAAGCAAATTAGATCTTTTTGAAATTAGATTTTAAAATTAATTTTAATTTTATAAGTAATATATCCCTAATTTTACATGTAAACCTTTTTGTGTTGTTTTCAAGTAGTACTTTATTTTCACAGTTTTAGGTTTGCAGAAAGTACAGAGGGTTCCCACCCACCCACCCTCCTGTTTCCTGCTAATTACCGCCCCGCCTTCCTGAGGCACGTGTGCTGCCTTAGCACTCTCAAGCCAGTGCTCTGCTCAGAAGTAGGTCCTGTCTTGAGCTTCGTATGTGTTCCCTAGACTTGTCTGTGCATTACCTTCACACATACATACAAATGCACATATATTATACATACATGTATTTATGTTTATGATGATAGAGAATATTTGTTGCTTTGTGTTTATTTTCTTTGTTGCATCAGTGGTACATCTTAAGTTCTATATCAGCTCATAAAAACCTGTATTTTCCTTTTGAAGTCGTATGCATTCTGTGGTATGGACTTTACATACTTTACCTATTTTCAACTGATAGGCAATTGTTTTGGTTTTATTTGATTGAAACAAATGCCTTCCCAGTTATTACGTATGTATTTGTTCAAGTGTGTGTGTGTGTATATGCTGGTGGTAATATTAATTTCACTTCATATATAGCACTTTTCTATTTTGGAGTAATGTCAAAGCTTTTGAATTTTTGCTTTTGTGGTTTTAAAATAATCTCATTTCATAGGATCCTAGACATATTTGCTTATATTTTAACTATCATTTTATTTTCAGTGTTTAGTTCTTTTATCCACCTGAAATTCACTGTAGAGAATGGTATGAAACAAAGATCTCAATTTATTTCTTCCAACTGTCTCCCTGGTTATCCTGACACTACCTGCTGACTGGTAAACCACCGACTGAGTAGCTGATGTACTGCAAGGACCACTAGCCAAGATTTGTGCAGTGTGTGTTAGGGTTGGCCGCTGTTGAAGCCATTATGATCTTATCTTCTTTCTTAGTCTGCACACTTACCCACTTTGCAGTTGGACAGATAAGGAAGAAGAGGTGAGGTGAGCGCCCAGGGTAAGGAGCTGCTGAGTGGCAGAAACGGATTTGAATCTGCAGGTCTAGCTTTAGCACCACCACATTTCACTTTATGTAAGTATGGCAAGTTTGAAGTGACAGCATTGTTGACTAATTCTAGGTAGCCTGAGCTAGCAGTTCCCTTTCTTTATTCAGGTTATTTTATGAACAAATTTGGAATTACATGTTCAGCACGTATTATACATACACATCTTTGGGTTGAATGAAAAAGGCTGTTTTTCAATAAAGTGGTTAAATGTGGTGAAGTAAAGGCAGCTTGTACCAGTCACACAGAAGCCCAGCAAATGTGCCCCATGAAAGCACGGCGAGGGCCTTGGCTTTGCTAGTTGGACCCAGATGCTGAGTGGCTGCCGGTGGACAGTGAGCGTGTTTTGTCTCCCTGCAGGTGCAGCGGTCGCTGGCATCTACCGAGTCGCTGGAAAGAACATGGCCCCTTTGGAAGCACTGGTGTGGGGTGTTGGGCAGACTGTATTGACATTAATCATCTCCTTCTCAAGGATCCTCGCTACACTCTGAGGTTTCTGAGGGAATGTCCTGTTTCACGTAAGAAAACAGATGTACAGATTTCCTGAAGATGGCATTGTTGGCAAGTGGAAAGGAAGTGCAAAACCGTGGCCGGAGCAAGTCAAAGCCTAAGAAGACCTCATGCTGTGTGGAAAGACAGCCCTCTGGTGTTCAAGCGATTGCACTACCGCCCTGCACCTTATGTGCCTCCGTCCCAGGCAAGGTGCACCTAGACACTACGTGAATCCACAAGAAAAGCACCTTGTTTAGCTGCCCATCAGGTTAACTTTGGCGTTCAGATCATCATTCTTAACAGTGTTGTGTTGAGTTCCAGGGACGTTTTGAGGAATTGATACATGTGCCAAACTCTTCTTTTTGTTCACATTGATCATGTGATGATTTGCAAGTGTAGCTATAGATGAGTGCTGTGAACATGTTTGACATGAGTTTGAGTAAGCCTTTGTTTTGTGTGCTCAGTCCTGTATGAGTGCTAAATACTGAATCTTTTAATGTGAGAAAAATTACTTGGTTTTTAATGTTGAGCATCTCGGGGATTTAGGGTTTTAGTATGTTTAGGCATTATTGTTATTGAACTTATAATAATAGTCTTCTTAGAGGAAGACTAGCTAAACTGTTTTAAGGACTCAAATTAGATCTATAGGGTGCATACTTTTCGCTAACTTAACACCCTTTTAATAGTTTTCGTCATGCATAAATATTGTTTATATGAATTAAAAATTTGTTTCACACACTGTCATTTGTGTGTCATAAAATATAATTTGAAAATTCTGTTATAAACTTTGTAAGGAAAAAAGTCTGGAATGCAAGTTACATTCTTTGTCCCTTCTAAAAAAAGCTTTTGCCCTGTATCTCATGGAGATACTATCTTTATAATTAATATGGTAATGGGATTATCCATGTATCTTGATTTTTGACAAACCTGTCTTTCATTCTGGAGTATTAACTATGTACAGAATGGCCTAAATTAGGCTCTGGAAGTAAAAAGCTTCATTCGTAGATAAATAACTAGTAAGTTACACAGGAAGAATAATAGACTGTCTTACTTTGGCTGTGTGGCAGTGTCATGATTCTGCTAATACTGGGGAATATAGTAAATAATTTAAAAAATTGTCAGTTTCAGCCTATCAACACAGTACAGAACATATACTCATATGATTCATTTCAGTTTTGAGTTCTTGATACACTGAACAGTTTTTAAGTTGAGAAGTTATGATATAAGTTTACTAGACTCATCACTTTTGCTAACAATGGAAATGTCCTTTGTATAACACTCTTTAAGAAGTTTTGGTAATGCACAGTTGCTTATAAGAATATAAGAAGTAGGTACAATTCAACCCTGGTTGAATGGGTCTCCTATGAGACTTTTTGGGCACCAGTTGCAGTTATAAATGTGCTAACTTCAGGGAAGACCCACAGCAGAGACATTAAGGAGAATTCATTAACCAACCCAGCAACCTACCTTTTTGTTTAACTTGGTTTTACTTTTTTTAGTAGGTTTCTTTTATATCCTGTGAAATTTCAGCTCCACCAAAATGAGTATATCAACTGAGTGAGGTGTTAAGGAGTACAGTCCATGTTAGGGGTTTATTAGTATTGTGGCTTAGAAGCTTATTTTAAAAAATAAGCAACTGTGTGTTCTGATAGATCTTTGTGGTAAATGTTAAGCTTAATTCTTTATGGTGCAAAAGCCTATTATTATTTTCATATGTTATTTATATTCTTGGTGTTTCCTCAAATTAAATTTAGATATAACTTTTTCAAGTCAGTTTGATTTTCCTTTTCTGATAGACTCCAATTGTGATCTTCCTCTACTTTGGCTGTGTTCTTCCAGCAGAGTTACCAATAATATGTGGAAATTGTTTCAGATGTACAGGTTGAATATTTAACATACAATTATTTTTTATTTATAAAAGTTATCATGGTAAGATAATATAGAACATATGGTTCATAATCCAGAAAATAACTTGGATGCATTGAATATATGAATTATGGACCAAAGAGATTTGAATTCTTATTTTTATTCTAGGATAAAGTTATGATTGAGTGGTTAATAAATAGTGTGTGGGGTGCCCTGCAGTTATGCCAGTATCAAGTTGATTTACATTAAGAATTGAGTGTGTTGTATACTGAAATACTTAGATGGACATTTTTGGTTTCTGTGCTGCTCTCAGTTATTTACATTGAGAAATTGTGTATCTGTCACTCTTGATATTTGAAATGTAGTTGTATAGTATGAATTTATCAGTTGCTTTAATAGCTGTTTATATGCTGAGTTTTTTAAAGTTAATGGCTTTCCTATAGAGACAAATGTATGTACCTATATGTGTACATACAAATGATATATATGTCTGTACATATGTATCATTATATACATACAGAGAGAGATATGTGTGCATACACACTCCAATTGGAAAGCTTTTGTTTAATGAACACTTCAGTGTTAGTGAATTTGATACATTTGTTTGGTTGAATGGTCTTCTGAATAGATTTGAAGATGTTTGACATTACGCCGGGAAATTTTTCGGGGGGTAATGGTGTGAGAAACCCTCGTTAGGGACATGACGAAAGCTCTTATTGATGTAATTTGGCTATACTTTCTTAAAAATTGTATGTGAGTTAGCAGGGAATTTTCTTTATGGCAAGTACAAGTAGATACTGAGGGAATCCTCTGTGGTTGACACTAAAAATGTTTAGCAAACTATTGCTGATAATGGATCAGTTCCCCAAAAAAGGAACTCCTGGACGCCCAAAGCCATTGAGTAACATCTGATTAGAAATATCAGTAGAGCACAGTTAGCCAGGAGGGCCTCAGGTAAGCTACAAGCAGTACTTAAAAACTTTTTTTTTCTTTTTTTTAAAAAAAGGAAGTACACCTCACTACCCATGGCACAGTTTGGTCAGTTACTGTGGAAAGTTCTGAATTATGGTGTATTTATTGTGTGCAGCTTGTTATTTTAGATCTTAGTGTTTACCAAGCAGTGTTAATCTGTTACCCAATATGCAGTCTTTGTACTTGCTGCATACATTTTACCCGCTAGAGCCCCAAACCCACATGCGGTGTGTTTGTACTTTAAATGACAGAAAAGGAAGGGAATAAGTTGGCCTCTTTATTTTCTATTTCTGATGTAAATAGAACAGGAACAGAGATAATTTCAAAATCAGTGAATATTGTTAGAGTCTGGAACCTCCAGGTAAGAAGAGGAACATGGGGCTGCCGCTCTTGCGCCCATGCCAGCACCTTGGTGCCAGCTAACTCAGTTTTGTGAGCACTTCTTCCAGACCCACTGTGTGCAGTGCTATACAGTGTTGTGTTGCGTAAGAACAAATGGGCTTCCTGCCTTCCAGCCCACTAAGAGCTAGCGAAACAATTTCAGATCTTAAAAAATGCTGGCACAGTATTTCACTTCCTGATTTGGTTAGCAGTTCTGATTCTGCCCCTACCTTATGCATATTTTCCCATTACATCCGCTAAATGGAATTTTACTAGCTGAGATGCTGTTGATGTGACAGAGTGAAGTGTGCTCGACTCTAGAGGCGCAGACTTAGAATCCAGCCTGTCACTTACCATCCTTCTGAGCCAAGCAGTCCTTTAACTCTTCGAGCCTCAGTTCATATTCTGTGAAATTATTACGCTTTATATCATTGTTATGAGAATTATTTATGAATGGCACAGTGATATGTAATTACAGTAAACGATCAATAGTCACCAGAATTTTTTAAAATTATAAATTTAAGAAAAAAACTAAAAAAGTGATCTTGTAATCTTACTCCTTTATCTCCCCTCTACCCCTTTATTTTTTAAATCAGATACTTGTCTAAGTACACTTTGGGAATTGGTAGGACCAGCGTGGCTTGGGCAGTCAGGGTTACGTGATGGGCTCCACTTAGCACAGGTTAGAATAGAATAGAAGCAGCCACGATCTACTGCTTCACCGGTTCCTATCTATTTTCTATAGATTCGATTCACTGAAAACATTGGTTGGCTCTCTGGTATACACAGATTATTATCCTTGTTTAAGAGGTGGAGAAGCGAGTGAGGTGGAGCCCTTCGACCACACAGCCAGCCCTTTCTTCTTCTGCCTCATTGGGCATGCGGCTCTGCAGCACACTGCTGCTTCGGTTAGAAACGGGGGTGGTAGTGTCCACATCCTACCCGTGGGCCAGGCCTGGGTGTGGCCCTGCTGCTGGTTTGTTGGGCCTCCTGTATTACCCCAGAGGCAATACTCTTTTAGATATATACCCATCTTGTCATGCAGGAAGTAACACGATGCTAAGAGCACCTTCTGAAGTATCCCCAGCCGGCTGCTCTCCTGCTCTAAGTTTTCTCACAGAAAGCCTCACACAGAATCTCTTTAAACATAGTTTTCAGGATATGAGGGACATGAAGTTACTGAAGAAATTAGAATTAAACTTTGATTGTGGACAACTAGGTAAATTTCTGTTTCCTTTAATAATCAGGAATGAGGCTCTCAGTAAAATGGACTAGTAATCAAATGCTCTGGTAATCACTCTTCATTTCTCCATCTCTTTAAAAGTCTTCCAGGCAGAAGGAACATAATGTGATTAAAAAGTTTAATACTTTCAAATGTGGCACCAAGATGTTGCCGAGGGAAGTTTAAAGACAAGAAGCCGTGGTGGGGAGCTGCTGGGCCCATGAAGCTCCTCGCATCGCGAGAACATAGCTCCTTTCCGCTGTGAGCCGCACGCGGGGTGCGAGCATGTCCTGCTCATCTGCACAGTTCGGTGTTCCTTCCTCGTGGGCACCCTGGCCACCGCGCACTTGAAGTCCTTTGCGTGCGTGCGTGCGTGTGTGCGTGTATGAAAGAGAGAGAGAGAGTGATTATAGGTTTGCTCTTTTAATTTGAGTATCTTTGTCCTGTTACAGAGAATGCTCTATTACTAAGGTTGCTGTGAATTATTGATCTCAAAACATAGCTGTGAATTTCGCAGAAACAGTAGTTAATATATGAGGTAGTTTGACTTCATAGTTATAGGGTGATGCACTGATGAATTCTTCATTAAATTAGCACTCCAGCTTCTGAATGGAGTGAGCTATGAACTGCAGTCATCGCCCCTGCCTTTAGGAGGTCCTCTTCCCGTTCTCCACACTCAGTGCACATGTGTGGAACTTGCACAGGAACTCTTCCTTGATTTTAAGACCTAACTTAACAATTTATGTGAAGCCCTGCACCCCTTCTCCAAACAGATGTCCTACATTATAGTTTAAACATGTGGTTTTTTGATAGAAGCTGGAGTGTTGGTTGATTCAGAAGAGAATTTTCAACACCTGTGGTTATGCAGCCAGCATCTCTTTGACAATTAAATAGCTGTAGGAAAGACAGGACAGCATGACGCTCTTATATTTTACTTTAGGTTGTCTCCCCCACTCATACACAGTATATTTTCCATCAGTAATATGACTGTCTTCTTTTCTTGAAATTCTTTAGGTCTATACTGAAACTAGAAAGCAGTATGCCACAAATGTATAGGAAGAGAGACTAAAAATCCATAATCATCTGATGAAACTCATGACTATGACCTTTTTCCTGAATATGAATTGGTAATTACTAAAAATCATCACTGCTTTTAAAACCCTATTTAAATGGATATTTGCTTGAAAATTCTGGTGATAAAAAGCTTTTTAAAAAATGTACAGTATGTTGATCTCATCACTATCTTTGGGATGGGACACTTTTAAGTTTTCTCATAGCAAGCAAGTTGAGGTGCTTGTTAGAGTAGGAAAAAAATGGGTCACTTTGAGTACTGGCTGCGTGGCTGAACTAATTGTTGACATTTTCTTAGTGTTTGTAGTATTGGGTGCCTGTGCTGTGGAGGAATTCAAAGCGCTCTGACTCTCACCAACGTACACGCAGGGAGTCTGCGGGTTTAGATGAACAAATGTGAAATTCCCTAGTAGTTTTACATTTAAATTTATAACTTGTTAAAATCCGTATGATTTCCTACCATAAGTATTACCCCTTGACTCCAATCATTTTGAGAGCAACTTTTTTAAAGTTAACTAGCTAAAATGTTTTTATTAGAGTACCAACTGTATAGTTTACCCAGCAGACATTGAAAGATCACTGATGAATCGGTTAAATCACAGTACCATTTTAAAAAACTAAGTGATGCCTTAGTGCCTTGAAAGCTACAATACTTTTGCAAAGTGGATCTAGCAGAAGTCAGATTGGCACTGATGAGTTGGCTGCGTATGCGTCCCCTGTGGCTGGAGCTTGAGTCTGGGAAGGGTGTCATGAGAACAGGCCTTGGCGGCTAGCCTCTTAGGATTCGATACAAATCAGCTACCTAGCCATGGGCTAGGACAGATGACAGCTACTTTCATTATGTTCTCACGATGTGGCATTTTCCTCTATCTTTTCCTTTTTCCAAGAAAGTATGAAATGGGGGAAAGTGTAGTCAATCATTTACATTTTTAGTTTTATTGTAAACTAGGGAACCTAGTGTGAACAAAATTAGTTTTATATTGTAGTGTGTATGGGGCAAACACTTTATGTAACCTTTAGAAATACGTTAATCAGGGATTTATTTTTACTATAGAAATATATTAAATGTACTGTGAAGCTTAAAGATACGAAGAATAAGCATTGGAAGGGTAACACAAAAAAGCAAAAGCATATTTGACGAAGTACCCTGCATTATGTGAACACAACTTCCCTCTGTTACGACTATAAGCTACACTGTATGAGTATGTGTACTGCATGTTTACATAATACAGTTTAATTTTGAAGGATTATTTAAAAAACTTTATATAGAATACCTAACAAGCTGTAAATATTGTATACTATTGATTTTTAATTTTATATAAGCAATTTTTTATTTCCCAATTCATGTACAAATCTCATTGTGTATATAGCATAATTTCCTGGAGAACATTTTGCAGTGAATTCTAAGTATTTTAATTGTAGTAAGTATCAGGTTAGCCTTAGAAATGTTGGTCTTTATTTAAATTATTTCTTTCACCACTCGTTTTTTTTTCCCACAGGGCAGCAATAAACATATGCAACTTATTTTTGAATATGAAAAAGTTGGTCTAACAAGACAAGATTTGAGTTTCAGTTCATTGCTTTAAAGAAAAGATGCACAATTAGTATCAGTATCATCTGCTGTCTGGTCGTGGGCCATTTCTGAGGCCTATGTGTGGCTCTCTTTATAATGTACAGGGTGAACTCTGTTGATAACACAAAAAACATCTGTTAAAAGTGAATCCAGCACTTAAATGTCATTACACAGAATTTATTGGATTACAAATTTGTAATATACAGTATTTTAATAAAGTTTCTGTATTCAATTTCATGCACTTATATATAAATAAACCTGTCTTTGAAAGCTTTACAGTGTGTGGCTCTTGGTGGTGCGTCTTCTGCACTTCAGTAGATTCAATGTCTGCCTTTTTGTCTAGTGTTCTGGGTCAAGTTTCCTATGGATTTTGGAGCTCTCAAGACACATGGGGCCATATTTCTAGGCTGACCTAGGACCAGTCCTGACCATGTACTATATTAAGCGTGCTGTTGCTTGTAGTAATCATGCTCTACCACTTCTTGAGTGCCTGCATATCTGGCAGACATTTCCTGAGTATCCTTCGACGCCAACCCTTCAAGTGACATCTTTCAGCCCCATTTGGTAGACAGTGCATCTGAGGTGGGAAATTTCTGCACAGCACACAGTCATCACTGCCGAGCTGGGGCATTCTGCTGCTAGACTGTGTTTCCCCCACCATGCTGCGCTGGTTACAGAACAGTCTCACCTGTGACGAGCTATTTGCAAAAACCAGACAACATTATAGAGTGTTGAAAAGTTATTTGTGATTTGAACTGTCAAAGTTATGCATACTTGGAGTTTTTGTTAGGCATTTCTGAAGGAGGGGCTTGGTGTCCACCTACACTGCTGCAGTCCTGCCTGCCGAAGGAGGAGCCGACAGCCAATGCCCAGAGACAGTAGCAACCCCGCTGGAGTACTAAGCTAGCTTCACTTCTAAAGTTGTGTGTCCATCAACCCTGACATTTATTTTCTCTAATCAGCTTTCAATTTTCCTTTTTCTAGATAACATTTTAATTCCACCATATGAATTATAAAACAACCAAATGCATCTCTTAGACCACAAAGTTAAAATGTTTTTGGTCAAATCTTAAATCTCAAGATCACAGAAGATTTCTGTTTTATTATCTTAGGTTCTTCAAGTACATGTTTTTGTAGTAAGCCTGTGAGGCTCAGTGACTACAGAGAGATGGCATGGAGTTTCACACTTGCCACTCAGGATAGGACCAGAGAGTGGCAGCCTTCTGTCACTGTGACCACTTGACTTCCTGCAGAGCAGCCTGCAGGAAGGGAGCCTGACTTGGAACCTGTGTGCCGGCACTGATGGCTGTGCTATTGCTGGGCCTGTGGGGAGGCAGTGCATCGTGGCGGAGGAAAACTGTTTACCTCCTGCCTCATGGACCCAGGAGGCAGGGAGAAGCCAGAGAGGGAGAGCCGAGGAGCAGATGGCCTCCCAAGGCCACGCCTGTCACCTTTTCCTTCCTGCTAGGGCCCACCTTCTTTTCCATTTTATTCCAGTAATGCCATTGACTTTCGATGTCATCATAAATTAATCCACTTGATGAAGTTAGAGCCCTAATCCACTTCCAGATTCTGGTTCCAGCTGACAACTGGACCTTTCCTCATGACTTTGGGGCCATTTCAGTTTCAAAACAACAGGGAAAGGAAATTGAGAAAGATGGTTGGATCTTAAACAGCTTTGTAGGAGCACGTCCTGGCAGACCTTTTTTGGTAATGTTTTACTTTGTGTTACTGGGGCTTGAACTGAGGCCCTTGAACACACTAGGGAAGTGCTCTGCCACCGAGCTCCATCCCTTAGTCCTGTCAGACGTGTGGGGAGAAATGTCTCAGTTATTGACTGCAGACTTCATGGTGCTGAGTTGAACTTGAACCCTTATGGGTTCCATAAGTGATTGCCTAACTTTTTAGCATCCATTTTTAGAGGAAAGGAAAGAGGGCTTGCAGCCCATCTTTCAGGAGGAGAAAGTGGGTTTGCTTCCCAGCAGCTACTGAGGCCTTACATCTGCCCCTTCCGCTTCTGTTCTCATTTCTCATTATTTATTGCCACCAGACGTTCTTTTTGTATTAGTACGTGTGTGCCACATACTTGCATTCACTGTGGGGAGTTGGCACATCCACGTGACACTCCTAATTATTTCTTTGTGTCCCCTTCTCTCACCACCCCCAATCTCTTGGTACCCTCACTTACAAAAGAGCTAGCTCCCTGTTTCCTATTTTTTATCTTTTATTTTGCTCTGTAAATCAATTACAGTTGAGTTTCTCTTATGGAGCCAACCTTAAGTAAATCTGCAAGTCTGATTTATCGTACCTACCGTGACAGTCTCAGGGAGCATCCATTTTCTTATAAATGACTCAGGTTTGTCCCACATAGCAGAGTAATACTCTATTGCGTACAAACACACTTTCTTCATCTGTCCATAGACATACAGGCCACTTCCAAGATTCAGCTATTCTAAATTGTGCTGCTATAAACATGAGTATGTATGTATCACTGTAATGTGTCTTTCTGGGGAAAGGAAGAGAACTAGGTTCAGTCGCATTTGTGTTTTGTTTTTAATTTTATTTTATTGAGAAACAAATATCAATGAGACAGTTTCAAAACTGATTAATAGGACAGTTTCAATAATTAATACATTGTACACTGTTATCTTCTTAGTGGTTATATGTAGTACAAGATGCAGACAGAATATCCTGTCCAAACACTATTAGTACAAATCTTTCTTCTCATTGAATTAAGCAGAAGTAGCTGTATATCTATCCTAACTATTCTGCATATACAGATACAAAATGGTCCTTCCTTTGTGTCACCTTTTTTTGTTTAGTCCTGTCAGAAATGGGTATTCCATTGGCATCTAAATACTATAGGTGTGTGAATTCAGCAAAACAATCTAACACAGTCCAGCAATCCACACTAGTAGTGGGTTATCCACAGAAGCTGTTGACTTGAGCCTTTCACAGCTCAGCATATTAATATGGCTTTACTTTATAGATCTTGTTTTTTTATACTTTTCTGCTAGATGGTTAAGACCAAGATAAAGCAAGACCTGTATCACAAGAAATGTAACTTTTCTATCTGATAAGGTCAGTCAAGTACCCTCAGGATTTATCCTGTAACCCTGTACCGCAGTTTGCAGATCCTTTGTCAGTGTCAGCTATGTGGATGAGTCATGGCCATTGCTCGACCAATTTGCTCTCTGGCATTTGTGTTTTTTCGAGTAGTGTTCCTACTGCTTTCTATAGTGAGTGCACTAGTTCACACTTCAGCAGTGCAGCAGGAACTGTTCCCTCTGACCCACGCTCCTCCCCCTTTTGGCTGCATTTATTTGGCTTCTTGTTGGTGGCCATTCTTTCCGGAGTAAGGTGGAATCTCAGTGTTGTTTTAATGCGCATTTCTCTAGTGGCCAGCAGTGCTGAACATTTTTTTCATGTATTTGCAGATAATTTGTATTTCTTCGGGGAGGTATCCCTTTCAGTTCCCCTTTTTTGATTGGGTCTTTAATTTTGGGCAGTCTAATTTCTTGAGTTTCTATGTATTTTATATATTAGTCCTCTGCTGGAGGTGTAGCGGGAAAATTTTCTTATCATTCTGTAGGATTTTCTTCACTTTGTTGGTTGTTTCCTTTGCTGTTGATATCTCATTTGATTTTTAAAATATTATTTCTTGGGCAGTTGGGGTTCTTTTCAGAAAGTCTTTGCATATGCCTGTTCAGGAGTTTTACCTGTTTTTATTTTCCAGCAGGTTGTGTTTCTGTTTTATTGTTTAAACCTTTGAACCTTCTTGATTTTAGTTCAGTACATTTGGGCCCCGTTTAGGAAGTGGTTTTCTTGCAAAGCAAGATGTTTACCACTAGGTGGTGCTGTGGTTCCATGTTATTTTCTGCTTGCTTGCGTTGTGATTTGGCTATTAGTTCTTAACAACCCAAATTAATGCAGTGCTTTAAGGTTTATTTTCACGTGGTGAGTCTAACAGTAATTTTTTTTTTCCTGAGAAAGGTGAGCAAATTAAACGTGAGAAAGATCAAGCTTTCTACGTGTCATCACCAGCCAATAGTATGTTGGAGAATGTCAGGAGTGTTCAAGATTATTGGCAAATTAGAAAATCATACTAGTTGTATGATCTTGACAAGTCACTAACTTGTCCTGATTTAATATATTCTTAATCCCACCTCCGTGCATAATGACATTTTATCAAATTGAAGAGTCGACACTTTGAGTGACAGGTGTGTCGTTGTTCAGCATCCTGGGATAGGAGGGAACACGCCAAGCACACAAGCTTTGTTGTATCACAAGAGTTGGTTTTAAATTCCTGATCTTGGGACCAGGGAGATGGCTCAGTAGAATAAGCACTTCCCTGGCGAGTGCAAGGGCCTGAGTTCAATCCCTGGTTCCGCTAAAATAAATAAATAAATTCCTGCTCTGTGCCTGGAATTCCGACTTGGTCAAGTGATTTAACTTCTGTTATGTCCAGTTGTCGCATCAGTAAAATGAGAACAATGTATTGCTACGTAGTAAGCATACAGTATATGTCCATTCTACTTTGTCCCGTCAGCCCCTCTCCTGTATCACTGGTGGGAAAGGTAGAGGGATGATGTGGTTCTAGAATTTTGTTACAGGTTTCTTTGGTAGTAAGCGCAAATGCTTCTTTCTCCATCTCAGAGCCAGGTCCTGTGTTACGGGTGAGGATGGTGCATTTTCTGGAAAGATTTGTTTCCTATTTAAACTATTCCTTTGAACCATGTGCTGCTTTTGCCCCAGATCCTGCTGAGATAGTATTTTGTAGAAACATACTTCAGTGGCAAGGAGCCTGGTTAGAAAGCAGAATGTGTAACCTTGCTCAGCTTGCAAATTCCTCACATTCCTTAAACCAAATATGTCCAAGATGAGGAAGCCCAAGCAGCCAACATAAATTAGGTCCTCCTGAAGGACTGTCCTGCCTGGCATATCAGCTGTTCCCATATTCATGGCCACCTCAGATCCTGTTGCACGTGGGCTTCGCTGTTTATTGTTCTGCCAAGACAAATGTAGCTCAACCTTGGAGAAAAAGGGCTGGTCTTCTGAGGCCCAGAGCTTCTGACTCTAAAAGCACACATTTCATTATACAGCATAGTCTGGAGCAGCTGTGAAGACAAATGTGTACATGTGTCCAATTGTGAACAGGAAGGGGCTGAAGAACCCAAAGGAAAAAGGCTTCAATGAAGGCTGACTCCTCAGTCACTTGGGACTGTCGGAGCACAAGACCATAGAGGCAGAGATAAAGCCCAAGTCTTCAGACACAG